ATCTGAAACAAGCTCCAGGCTCTGAGCTGGTTGTCAGCCCAGAGCCCGACACGGGGCTCGAACCCATGAACCACGAGATCATGACCTGAGCCAGGCCTGGTCTTCTTTTATTTTCTTTATACCATTTTGATCATCTGAATGAATCTAATTAATTAATTAATTTTCTCTTTTACTTAATGTTCTCTTCCCCACTGTAGACTGTTCTTAAGAACAGGGACTTTGTCGGTCTTACTGACACAGAATCCCCTGCACCTAAGATGGTACCTGACAAATAGTAATAGGATATGAAGTGTGTTCAAGTATTAAGTGCAGTTCAGTTCCCCTAGTTTGAATATCTGAGCCTCTTATTTCTTTTCTTTTTTTTTTTTTACAAATAGTTTAATGTCAAGTTGGTTTCCATATAACACCCAGTGCTCATCCCCACAAGTGCCCTCCTCCATGCCCATCTCCCCCACCCCATCTGCCCTCAGTTTGTTCTCAGCATTCGAGAGTCTCTCGTGGCCAACCCCTGTTCTAACACATTATTTCCCTTAACAAATGAATGTTTTTAAATTATAGAAAATAGGGAAAGCAGTTTAACATTTTTCAAAATGTGTTCTGAGTAACATCTCGTGATAATAAATGGATATTCAAAAAAGGAATGTGTTAGATAAATGATTTTGGGGAAAACTGTCTTATTTTGTTTTACCTCACTACTTTTATGATTCTTTGATGTACTGAGGTGCACTATAAAACCTGAGATTAGGGACGCCTTGGTGGCTCAGTCATTTAAGCGTTCAACTTCAGCTCAGGTCACCATCTCGTGTTTCATGAGTTTGAGCCCCTTGTCAGACTCTGTGCTGACAGCTCAGAGCCTAGAGCCTGCTTCAGATTGTGCTTCCCTCTCTCACTGCCCCTCCCCTGTTTGTACTACATCTCTCTCTCTCTCTCTCAAAAATAAGCAAACATTTTTTAAAAATTTCTTAATTAAAAAAAAAGCAACCCTGAGATTACACACACACACACACACACACACACACACACACACTTATATTTGTTTCTTTTTTTAAACTCTTCTTAGGAGCATCATGAGGCACAAAGACCTTTGTGAAAAATATTTAGGGAACTGATTACATTTATCTTGCCTTCATTTTGGAAGGATATTTTTGTCAAGTACAGAATTTGAATTGCATTTTTTCTCATTGCAACTCCAAAGTTCTTCATTTTTAAAATTAATAGTTTTAGACAGAATTTAAGTATTTTGAACTTCACCCATTTAGAGTGTATGATTCACTTGTTTTTAGTATATTTATAGAGTTGTGCAAGCATCTCCTAATCTAATTTTAGATCATACTCATCACCCCAAAAAGAAATTTCTCACCCATTATCACACATCCTATTCACTTCCACCCTCCAGCCCTACGAAATTACTTAATCTACTTTCTGCTTCTATAGATTTGCCTGTTTTATACATTTTATACATTTCTTACATGTAATATGTGGTTCTTTTGTGATTGGCTTCTTGCACGTAGCATATATTCAAGCTCCATCATGTTATAACATGTATCCGTATTTCAGTCCTTATTATTGCTGAATAACATTCAATTGTATGTACATTTTATTTCTCCACTCATCAGTTAATGGGCATTTTGTTCTTTCCACTGTTTTGCCATTGTGTGTAATGCTGCTGTGAACAATCACATACAAGCTTTTGTGTGGACATATGTTTTCATTTGTTTTGAATGGAAGAGGAATTGGCTAGGGTCATATGGTAACTCCAGTGTTTAGCCTTTTGAAGAATTGCCAACTGTTTTCCCAAGTGGCTGCACCATTTTACATTCCCACCAGCAATATACGAGGGTCCCAATTTCTCCACATCTTGACCAACACTTAGATTATTTTGGTCTTATTTTTAAAGTAAGGTATAATTGATATACCCAAAATTCACCATTTTAAAGGGTACAATTCAGTAGTTTTAGTGTATTTACAAAATTGTGTGATCATTGTTATTCTGTATTCCAGAACATTTTCATAACCCCTAAAAGAAATCCTATATCCATTAGTAGTCACTACTCATTCTCCTCCGTCACCACCGATCTATTTTGTGTTTTGTGGATTTGCTTGTTCTAGACATTTCATATGAATTATATCATGCAATATGTGACCTTATGTGTCTGGCTTCGTTCACTTAGCATGTTTTCAGGGTTTATCTATGTTGTAGCATGTGTGAGTACTTTTCCTGAAGAATACTCCGTTGTATGGATATACCCCCATTTTATTTACCCATTCATCAGTTAATGGACATTTGATTCATTTGTGTTTTGTTGCCATTGTACATAATGCTGTGAATGAACACTAAAGAACAAGTTTTTGTGTGAATGTAGGTTTCCATTTCTCTTGGGTATACACCTAGGGCATATACCATATGGGAATTCTATGTTTAACTTGTTGAGGAACCGCCAAACTGTTCCTAAGTGGTAGAGCCATTTTACATTCCAGCCAGCACTGTGTATGTGGTTTCCGCTTTCCACATCCTCTGAAACACTTGTTTCCTGTCTTCTTGATTATAGGCATCTAGTAGGTTTGAAATGGTAACTCATTGTGGTTTGATTTTCATTTCTCTGATGACTAATGATGTTGAGCATCCTTCAGTATACTCATTAGCCTTTTGTATACCTTATTCTTGTACAAGATTGCTTCAGCTTTGGGGGTGCCTGGCTGGCTCAGTTGGAAGAGCGTGCAGCTCTTGATCTTGGGGTCATGAGTTCAGATTCCACATTGGGTATAGAGATTGCTCAAATAATTAAACTTTAAAAAAAAAAAAAAGATTGTGGGATGCCTGAGTGGCTCAGTCGGTTGAGCATCAGACTTCGGCTCAGGTCATGATCTCGCGGTTCATGGGTTTCAGGCCTCCAATCCAGCTTCATGCTGATGGCAGGGAGCCTGCATCAGATTCTCAGTCTCCCTTTCTCTCTGCTCTTCCCCTCTCTCTCTCTTTCTCTCTCAAAAATAAACATTAAAAAAAAGATTGCTTTTTCTAGGATCAGTTTCTCAATATTTGCAAAAGAAGGGGGGAAAGTCAGCAAAGATTTTCTTTTTAAATAGGGATTGCAGGAGTTCCATTGAATCTGTGTATTAAGGATTTTTGCTATCCTAACATGGATGGATCGTCTCGTCTGTAATCTTGGGGTGTCTTTCTTAGGTATTTTATTCTTTGGATGTTTTTGGAAATGAAATTTTTTTAAAAAATTGCCTTAGGATTGTTCATCACTAGTAACTTAAAACTTGAATTTTGTGTGTTGATCTCATGTTCTGCAACTTTTAGAAACTTACTTCTTAGGTCTAATTATCTTTTTGTGAGTTCCATAGTTTTTTTAATATTTAAAATAGAAATAGTTATATTTCTTCCTTTCCAATCTGGACACCTTTGGTTTCATGGGGTCTTATGAGAAATCAGCAGTCATTCAAACTGCTTTTTCCCTATATGTAAAATATTATTTTTTTCTGGCTGCATTTAATATTTTCTCTTCATTTTTGGTTTTCAGCAATTTGATTATGATGTGCCTAAGTTTCTCTTCTCTTTATCTTCAGTAGTGTTCTTTGAGCTCTTTGAATTTGTATCTGTCCCATCTCTTTCTTGTCTTACCTATTGTTGACCCCAGTTTCACATTTATCAGATCTTTTATTATTTTCCCATAGGTCCCTGAGGCTTTTATTTTGTTTTTTAATCTTTTTTTTCCCTCTCTGTTCTTAAGATTGTATAATTTCTATTAATCTATCTTGAAGGTCTGACTCCTTCCTCAGTTATTTCCATTTTGTTATTAAACTGTTGAAGAATTTTAAGTTTCAGATAATTTCCTATTTTAGGGTTTCCATGGTTTTTTTTTTTGTTTTTTTTTTGGGGGGGCCATTAACCTTTTTTTTTTTTTTTTTTTTTTTACAAATAGTTTATTGTCAAATTAGTTTCCACATAACACTCAGTGCTCATCCCCACAAGTGTCCTCCTCCATGGGTATTTTTAATGTTCTTTGTTTTTCTGCTAAGAGTCTCTCTTTTTTCATTGTGTGCACATAATCCTCAACTTCACTGCGCGTAGTTTTAGTAGTTATTTTTAAATCTTAATCTGTTAATTCCAGTTGGGGTTGGTCCCTGTTGATCATGTTCAGTCTGGAGACTGGGTCACATTTTACTGGGTCTTGTGTATGAAGTAGTTTGGGATTGTACAGTGGACAAATATGTGCTATGTTGTGAAGACAGGATTTTGTTCTATTTTTTCAAAAGTGTTGGTTTTTTTTCCATTGGAAATTATTTTCTGGAATTCAGTCTGCAAACTCTAAGATTGTAGCTCAAATTTCATTTCAGTTTTGTTTTTGTCTTTAACTGGACTGGTTGCAGTCTGCCCTGTGTGGGCATTTTTAAGGAGTTAGCCAGAGTTTGGGGCAGGGACACTTTAGTTATTTTAAAGTAGTTTAATTGAGGGGTACCTGGGTGACTCAGTCGGTTAAGCACCAAACTCTTAATTTCAGCTCAGGTCGTGATCTCACTTGAGATTGAGCCCTGAGTTGGGCTCCACGCTGAGTGTCGAGCCTGGTTTGTATTCTGTCTCTCCCTCTCTCTGCCCCTCCCTTTCTTTGTCTCAAAATAAGTAAATAAACTTCAAAAAAATAGTTTAATTGATATGAGCATTTTTACCTTAGTTTATTGTTTCACTAGAGTTTACTTCATAGAGAGAGCATGAACAAGAGAGAGGGGCAGAGAGAGAAAGAGAAAGAGAGAGATTGACTCTTAAGCAGGCTCCATGTGTGGAGCCTGACACGGCGCTCAATCCTATGGCCCTAGAATCATAACCTGAGCAGAAATCAAGAGTTAGACGCTCACCAACTGAGCCACCCAGGTGCCCCTGTTTTAGTAGAATTTAGAATCATAGTTTTGTGAACTGATAATAATCATAGGTAAATGATTTCTAGTGTTTTATCTTGACAATTAAATAAAAATAAATTTATTTTTTCTCATTGTTACAGATCGAGCTGGGAGCATCAGTACTCTTGATTCTTTAGACTTTGCAAGATATTCAGATGATGGGAACAGGGAAACAGATGAAAGAGTGGCAGGTGAGTAACATTGTAAAGACAGATTTGGATTCTTTCACATTCAAGAAATAATAAAATGACTTGAGGAATTCCCTTCTACAATTTGGTATGTGAATATAATTATAAAAGTTAATACGCAAAGTTATGTTACTAATTTATTGGCTGTAGGGAACATCCTACTCCCCAACTTCCTCTTCCAGTCATGCTGTAAGTTTCTGGTTATGCACACCTAAAATTTATTTAGTTCTGTTTGTGGGCAACAGTTTACAATCATCTAGTTCTCTGACTGGTATAAAACAGGTTCCTTTGATGTTCCAAACCAGAGCTGATATTTAGGTGTTCTATATCAATACAACACTACTGATTGTGAAAATTGGTTGAAATACTTCCACACTGGTTGGTTAATAAAACTTTGTCTTGAGACCCGTAAGTGCTCCCTAGTCATCACAGCATCCCTCCAGAAATTTCCCATGACTATCCTATGTACCAGAAAATAAAGGGTTAATATGTGGTATGGCAGAGGCTTCCGGGACCTTGCTTATTCCAATAAGACCAACACTCTTTCTAAATGCTTAGTTATTCATACCAGTCTCTTCCCATCTTCACGTTCCTATCAGTTCTGCCTTCTAGGCTTCACCATTGTGTCTGTAAGAACTTGAGAAGACCAGTTTGTACTCGCTGTGTTGTGCCTTCATCTAATGAAACCAGCAGGCTCCTGGTGAGGGTCTGCCCAGGAAATTACCAGTGTAACAGGCTTAGCTCCTTTAGTGTCAAATGTCTGGTGCCTGTCAGGTGCCTCAGAGCTGTGGCTGTCTGTAATCGAAGTCATTCTGGAGTGCTTTATAGGAATTCTAGTTTTCATAGAACATTGGCTCTTAGATGGGGAAAGCAGACAGACCTGAGTTGGGTATTTTGCTCTCCACCAAAATGGTGAGCACTCCTGGCGCGGAGTGATACCACATGGGACAGATGGAGCCCATGGAGGCAGTATGGGATCAGGGAATACTCATAATGAGGATTCCTTTCTAGAATTTTTCTTCTATTTACTGTGGGAAGTTAATTACAGTCTATCAAATATTTACCTTTCATGGTCATTATGAATAAAAGTGAGTGCTAATTTTTATGTAGCACTTGATCTAATCACTGTTCTAAATGTATATTGACTCATTGACTCACAGGGTTGTCATCATTCTCTCCTCCCGAGGAAACTGAGACACTAGGAGGGATTATATACAACTCTAGTGGCAGGGCTAAATTCAAGTGCAGATAACCCAGCAGCAGAGCCCACAACTGACTGTTCAACAGTACCTCTTCACAGGAAGAGTGAGGTTTGACCTAGTTAAAAATGACATTTCAAGGGGCGCCTGGGTGGCTTAGTCGGTTAAGCGTCCGACTTTCGCTTAGGTCATGATCTCGTTCGTGGGTTCGAGCCCCGCGTCGGGCTCTGTGCTGACTGCCAGTTCAGAGCCTGGAGCCTGTTTCAGTCTGTGACTCCCTCTCTCTCTGACCCTCCCCTGCTCATGCTGTGTCTCTCTCTCTCTCCTAGAAATAAATAAAAAACATTTTTAAAAAAATGACATTTCAATATATGATTTTCATTCAGTGCTCAAGATAGAAATATTGAATAATTTTAAATCTCAGATGGTATTGTAGGACTTAGGAAAAAAAGTGATGAAACTGTTTTCAGTTTAGCAGAAGCAAAGAGAGGATTCAGCAGTGTAAATAGTAGCAATATCAACTGAATGAGGAAGTCATTGGAAGAGTTGAATGTGGCTCCCCATGTCAAATCATGATTTAGTCATAAGCATTATTTATTGAGTGTTGTATCAAAACAACAAATCACATTAGTAATATCTTCAAATCAATAGATTAAATGGAAATTATTTGAATAATTTTAGGACTAATTTATCCTACTTTATCATTTGTTAAGTGGTATGTTATATAGTTATACAGTGTATGTTAGATATTAGATTTTTTATGTTATGTATCAAACATTAAATACATGGTAATTTATTAGACTAATCAAATACATCTAGTTTTGTACATTGTATTGTTCAAATGGTTATATAATTGGGAAGTAACTCCTACCCCAAAATTGGTCACATAATTATTTTCTTTCCTTTAATTTTGAAAACCTATATTTTAGATTTAGTCTGATGTAAGGGGTTCATCATTATTCTCATTATTTCGGTATTTTAATGTTTCTGTTTAGGGGAAACATTGATGTAAAAGCAAAATGTTATGTAACCAAGCATAGCTAAGAATGAAATGTTGTAAATACATCGTGGTTTTGACCTTGTATTTTTAATCTAAAGATTATACTGTCTCCAGGTTTGGGAAGATAAAGTAATTTTTGATCATTATACAGTGCTAATATGTAAATAAATGCTATCTTCTATCTTCATTGGAAAGGGGAAGAAAAACGTGTGTTATTATAAGAGAGTAACTTTTAGACTTACAGAGCTTTTGTACCATTGCCTATTATTGAACCCAATATGTAATATGTGGGTGACACTTTATGAAAACGTTTCAATTAATCACAGTTCCCATTTTCAAAAAGATTTTCGACTCCTTGCTCACCATTGATAGTAACTTAAAGGCTTATCGAAACACCAATAATTCAGAAAAGATTCTACATCTGTGATTGGATCCCATGTAAACCTCACTAAGAAAGAACAGAAATTTCTTTATTAAAATTTTCTATACCCATCTTGGGCAGAAGGAACTTATAGATAACACAGGTATTGATTTGAGTTCATTGCCCCACCACCTAAATGTAGGGTCTGTTCCACTCTATTCACCTGTTGCTGTTATAAGACAAATAGGTACTCTGTTTTCAGCATCATTCTTACTATCTTTTTCCTAAATTTAAAAATCTGGTTATTTTTTCAAGTCTGTATAGGTTTTCCTTCAAAGAGGAAGATGTCTCAAAATGAACTAATGTTAATTGAGTGTTGGCTCTGTGCCAGGCACTGTGCTGGAGTGCTGTGTGTAAAACATTTTATTTAATCTTATTAACAGTCCTGAAGGATCGGTCATGATATCCTTGTTTTATAGATCAGAAAACTGAGACTCACCACAATTAACAAATTTGCCCAGTAGCCTCCATATGATAAGGGATCAAGACATAGGGTTTTATTCCAGAGCCCATGATGTATCTTTTATCATCAGCCTGTAGCTTTGACCCACCTGAACATTCATGTGGATAGCAGAATCCTGTCTTTCCCATATGAGATGATTTCAGCACAGCCGTTTTCTTTTAAAAGAAGTAAATTTTTTAAAAGCTTTTCATTTTAAATATTTTCCATTTCTGAATTTAGAAGTGTAAATTTTCACATAAAAATGATTTAAAAACTAGTAGACACCAAACCAAAATGAGCTTAACCTGAGTGTTCAGTATGTTATTAAAGAAATACAGTGTTGGTTGGTACGTATGTATTTCACCCCTTAAATTTTCAAGTTTTCTTAAAGATAGCAAGGAACAGGTTATTTTAAATGTTGGGATTGCCATTTTAAAGTTTATTTTAGACATCTTAAGCATCTGCTTAAGAAGATGCATGAAATAGATAGAAATGAAGCATGAAATAAAGTTTCTGCTCTCAAGGAATTTGTCCTGAAAATGTCTATATCTATAATATAAATAAATAGTCAGTACTTTAGACACTGTGGTAAGGGCCTTGTTAATTTTGGAACCACCTATAACCCTGTCTCAGTTTCACACGATCTGTCTTTTAGCATCAGAGTCTCTGAATATCCATTCATTCAAGTAACATTTATGGAGTGCTTACTCCATACTCAAGGTATTATGCTGTTCTGTTAACAGTAACCAACAAAGTAGACATTTGAAGCCTTTGTAAAGCTTACACAATCTAGTAGACGTTCTAAAATGATTGGATTTTTGCCTGGGAAATAACCTGGCCTGTTCGCTGACTAAGAATCAGCGTCAGGAGCCCCTCTCATCCCTTAGCTCTTGGCCTGCAACATACATATTGAGATAATCCAGATTAAATAGGCCCATTTGTCTCTTTCTTACGTGTTTCTCCCCTAGTACAGATATCTGTACTTCCTATCAGCAGTACTTTTTGTTTTTCTTATTTTGAGCCTTACCTAAATCTTTATGATTTTGTATATGATTAAGTGATACAGAAGCTCCCAACAAGGCTTTAAAGGCAACAATCTTTTAATATGGTTGTAGGGTGTTGTCACTTTTTTAAAGTTTATTTATTTGAGAGAGAGGGAGAGAATGAGCTGGGGAGGGGCGAAGAGAGAAAATCCCGAGTAGGCTCCACAATGAACATGGAGCCTGACATGGGGCTTGATCTCCCGACTGTGAGATCATGACCTGAGCCGAAATCAAGAGTCAGATGTTGAACCGACTGAGCTGCCCTGGTGCCCCTAGGGTGTTGTAATTTATATGGTAAGTCATAAAGGTCTGAACTAGGATAATTGCAGAGACGGTTGAGGTGAATAGCTTTTTAAAGGGTTATTCAAGGGTTGGAATTAATATGGCTCGAACATTTAATAAATGTGGGCTGAGTAAGCACAAGGGGTAAGTGCAGCGTAATCTCCAGGTTTCCTGTTTGGGCATCTGGATAGATAGTGGTGCCATTAATGGAGAGAGGCTACAGAAGGAAGAAGGAAAAGCAGATTTGAGAGGAGGATGAAATTCATTTAGATAGAATTTCAAAACTTATGAGACATTCAGGTGGGCATATCCTAGAGATAATTAGGTAGGACTGTGTCTTTGGGAAAAGATTTAAAGATTTTTGAATCTTCAGAGTAGTTGTCTCAGTTAAAACCATAAGAGTAAATAATCAATCCAGTGGGATACTAGGGTAAGAAAAGGATTGAAGATGGTACCCGGAAAAACACCGTGAGATGAGGGATAGACAGAGACTATAAGAGAACCTGAGCAAGGAGGACAAAAATAGGAATAATTTTTTTTCTTTTAAGGCTTGGGGAAGAGGATTTTTTTTTCCCACTAGGATGAATAGAAAACTAAATGTCTATAAACTGTGGAGATTGTGTCTTACTTCCATTCATTCATTTTTCACTATCTACTAAGTCTTGCCTAACAGTAGTATTCCTTTCTGATGTTTGTAATAGGCAGGGAGAATTCTCTAAACTCAGGAGGGGTGGTGATGGTTCTGCCTTAGGATTTTCGTATCATTTTAGGAATAGATTTTTATTTTAACTCATACCCTGGAAAGAATTTTCTTATTTCTTAGAACTGTTCCTGGGATAATAAAATAAGCATTAAAAATGGAGAAATAGTTGGGGCACCTGAGGGGCTCAGTCGGTTGAGTGTCCGACTTTGGCTCATGTCATGATCTCACAGTTCATGGGTTTGAGCCCTATGTGTAGCTTTGTGTTGATAGCGTGGAGCCTGCTTGGGATTCTCTCTCCCTCTCTCTCTCTCTCTCTCTCTCTCTCTCTCTCTCTCTAGCTCTGCCCCTCCCTTGCTCATGCTCTCAAAAGTAAATAAACATTAAAAAACAAAAAAAAAAATGGGGAAGTGGTATTTTATTATGAATTCAGATACTTTGGGGGAAAAAATCCAGGAAAGTCTGACTTGAAAGAAGACCGCTTCATGTCTACCATGGCAAAGACCTTGGCTCAGCCCTATAGATTGGAACCCTTCAACAGTGAACAGGAATAGGAATGAAAAAATACTCGACTCTGATCAGAGTTGTATCAGAGTTATGGAAAAATTTGTCTAAAATAGTATTTTGAGTTCCGTGCCAAAATATCTAAGACTAGCAAATATTTCAGAGGAACATAGTGCTATATTGATTGGACCACAAAGGATTGATTTTATTTTCTGCTTTGAAATTTAACACTTTACCTTTATGTAAAGTCATGAGAACATGATCTTGCAGCACTCAGATACGTATCTCTCTGATAGTGTACCAGTATTCTAACCCTGGTTGGTGAATAACGATTACAAACACTATAGAGTTGCTTATACTAGTTATCATTGATTATTTTGGTAAGATTCTAATATGTAATATTAGAATATACCTACATTTTTGCACTTATTACTTTAGTTCCAATAAAATTGCCTTCGGTAGGGTTAGCCTATTCGTAGAGGATTGAGATAGTGGAGTGAGCAGGTTGGTAGTTGGTTCCTACAGTGTTTTATTTTGTTTTTACAAACATACACATGCTCAAACCGCTCTATGAAGAATTAAATACACATGTTCAAACAGTTCTATAAAGAATTAAAATATTTGGTACAATGTATCTCTTTTGGTACAATTTATGTCTTTCTAGGATAATTAATTTTAAGTTTTAATCTAGTGTTCTTTAATAAAGAGGAGACAAATTCATGTATGTGTAAATATAGCTATTCAGACTTTTCTTGTGAAACTTTCTCATGTAACTGCAATTACTTGATCATACCGTGCTTTTACAGAAATGTGCTATAGCTTCAAATATATATGCCTTTGTCTTTCAAAGTCTATATCGTATATTAAGAAACATGCAGCAGAGTGAATTCATTTTGATAAGAACTATCTTTTCAAAGCATTGGTAACTTTCAGTGACATTTGGCAATGTATTTGTAGATGTGCATAAAAATATAAATTCTTGCCGTCTGACATGGGTTTTTCTGGCTTTCTGTGCCTTGATCATTTAATGTTTTGCTCTTAGTCACCTAAACTTTTCACCAGTTGAATTTGAGTTTTTCACAGTTTGTGTTTTAACCTTTTTTTAATTTATTTTTTTCATATTTCTATCATTCTGGTGCAGGCATTTCTGATCTGCAATTGTTCTGTAATATGTCTTAGTAAATTGTAAGTGATACTAAAAGCATAATACATGTACTGATTTTACTTAAGGCATAGTTAAGTATTTTTAGATCAAAATCAATTACCTAGAGCTTTGAAATTAAACCTGTTTTGTACTTACACACTGAATGTGTGCAGTCTGATTTTAAACACAAACTCTGTTTCCAGAAGTGTAAGTTTTAGGAAAAATGTTTTAACTTTGTTGCACAGAAATGTTTGCAGATCAGCATTGCTAATTACCAAAAAAGAAATAGTAACATACATGTCATCTGACTTTTAGTTGTGCTTTCATGTTGCTGCAGTGAAGTTCTGTGCATCAAAATAATTGGCCTTCATGTACTAGATGTGATTCAGTTACATCTGATGTTTTTAATGGAAATATGCAAACTGAGTGAATCCTAATTTTTCCATATATTTTTATAGCTGTGTCGTCTCTGATAGCATCTCATTGCCATCTTCTTTTTCTGTTTATTAGCCAATCAGGAAAAAAATGCCATTTTTAAATATTTTAATTTTCTGGTTTTTATGCAGAGCTATTTAAATGCTGTAAGTTTTAAATATCTAGTTGTGACAAAGATCGCTTAATTTTCCCAGAGCTTTACTTCACGGAAATGGCTCCCCACCCCCCCAGAGCTAAGCTTGCTTTTTCTTCAGAGCAATATTTATGTATTTTAAAGAAAGTTCCCAGTTAGTTAAATCTTGCTTGTGATGAAACATTTTAAAGAGCTTTTAAAAATGTTTCCTCAGATTCATGTTTATCTTATCAAAAACCAGAGAAATCTTTGAGTTTCATTAGTTGATATCTCTTGACATGAAGAGGTATCTCTTTGGAGAGTTATCAGAAATTTTGAAATCCTACTTAATTTTACTTAGTATCCTTAGGTACTGTACATTTAGAATTGTACACATTTACTTTAGAATGGTCTTAAATAGAAATTAAAAGACAAACTGTTTCTACCCTTTGGCTTAAAATGAAACCTAAAACCATAGGAACATTTTTTGAGATACGTGTTTAACGTATCTGTGCTCGTTTGTAAAAAACATTCATTTGTTGGTAGAAAAACTTATAGCTATGACAACATTTATTAAATATTTAAACCATATTTCTTCAATATCTTGATGAAGGGATATATTCAGTAATTTTTCTACGTATTGATTTACAACATTATTCTACGTAATGCATTTAAAAGTACCTTTGACTTTTTTAAAACTAAGGTTTTCTTTAAGTATATTTGCTTGGACTTAATTTAAATTTTTGTCTTTGCCCCTAAAATGATGTCACCTGAAAACATTCCACTGCATTTTCTTACCTACACTGAGTGAAGTACAAGCACCCAGATGACTATTTTTATTTACGTAAATGAGAATATGCCATAGATTTTCTTTTTAAATAGAGCTATTCCTTGTCAGACAGCTAGAACCTTTGATCAACAATCCCCCTGAATTCTAAAACTATGGAAAACATTCACCAGTTTGCTTGCAAACCAACTCTGCTGCATGCGTTCACAAATTTCATAAAGATTGCATGCTTTCTGTTTTCGATACAGAATGTATTTTTTTTTCATACCCATCCTTGCTTTTTATTTTTTTATTTTTGTTTCCCTTTTCTTGGTTGGATGCCTGTGTGTGTTTATTCCAAATCCCTGTCCAGTCCTGGAGTTTGAACTACGGAAAGCCAAGGAGACCATTCAGGCCCTCCGAGCCAACCTGACAAAGGCTGCAGGTGGTGTACATAAAACTTTTTTGAGACTTTTTCTACTTTGACAATGTAGAAGTAGCTGAGATATTTTCAAATATAAAGTGGTAAAGTATTATTTATATTTTCTTCCACCAGAACACGAAGTTCCTTTACAGGAACGAAAAAATTACAAATCAAGTCCTGAAATTCAGGTGGGTAAATGACAGACCTCAAAGTATCTTCCACATAAAAAGGTAGCACAAGTATTGATGGAAGGAAACTTATAGTATTGTATCTTTTATTTTGCCTGTAGGAACCAATCAAACCTCTTGAAAAGAGAGCTCTAAACTTCTTAGTCAATGAATTTTTATTGAAGAATAACTACAAGCTTACATCAATAACCTTTTCAGATGAAAATGATGATCAGGTACAATTACTTTTTTTTTTTTTGACAATGATTTGTTTCATTTTTCACTTATAATGTACTTTCTTTTTTTATCTAGTTTCTTTAATTTTTTAGAAGTCATGCAGTAAAATTCTATAATACTAGTTACCAAACACTTCTGTACTCACACAGTCTAGTATTCTTTTGGTCATACTCTCATTGCCACACTCCACTTTGTCACTGTCTTACTCCCACTATATCTATTTCTTCATCTTATTAATATCCTCGCCTTCTAAATATCTCCATTTTCACGTTAGCCTTCTCCTCGCTACTACTTTAAATCCTTCCTTAATCAATTCTAAATTCTAATGCACTCTCAGCTTTTGTTTTAGCTTATCATCCACCTGCCTCTCCAAAATTAGCTTTTGCCTGTTTACTATAATCTTGCCAGACAGAAGGGCTTGCATCCCCCTCAGCATATCTTGTTCCTTCAGAGTTTTGTGCTTTTGTTCGTTCTTTCCCCTCGTTGCCATGTGCCTTGTAAATACCTAAACCTTGTCCATGAGAGTGCACACAGGTCATCACCTTTCCAAAATCCTTCCTTCTGCCTCAAAATAGAAATGGACTCCTCTCTCTGAATTCTTGACAGTTCTCTATAGTATCTGTGATACTTCAGATTCTACCTGTTTCTTTATGTCCTCACTCTTGAATGGTGAAAGCCCCTGAATGGCAACAATATTTTATTCCTTTTTCTAAACACATGGTGGATATCTAATAAATGTTTGTTGACTATAGATGGATAAATGGACATTTGAATAATATGTGTAGTAGTCATTTAATAATTATTTTAAAGCTTAAATTTGTTTAGTCCTTGTTGTAGACCAAGCACTGTATTAAGACCTTAATACACATTTTATTTTATCCTTACAAAAATCCTCAGAGGTAAGTATACCCATTTTACAGATGATATGTTTAAGTTTCCAATTAATTTATAACAGTAATAAATGGAGACAGATAGGAATTTCATACTTGGGTCTGGTTTCTCCAAAGCCCCCACTTTTAATACCTGCCTTATATCTGCTTCGGATTTAAACCTCAATAATGACTATTCTCATTATTTAAATAAAGCCTCAAAGGAATAAGATTGTCACAGTTAGAACATTCAGACTAATATGGCATAGTTTCTCAAAGAAAATTTCCCAAATAAATTACAAATAAATAAGTTACAAGGTACCAAATTAGTACTAAATTTTGATGTGTTAGAGAAAGAGAGAATGGTAGGACAGTATATTTGCATGTGATTGATTATTCTGGAATTTTATAAAGCTCTTCAAAAAATCTTTGCCCATAGAATTCTTGAGGTGCTATGCCTTTTTGTACTTTAGTAATAAAATTGTGTTAGATTGAATTCAAGAGAATGCTATATGTACAACAAATCGAAGAGCAGCTATTTGGATTCTGAAAATTGTCAAAAGCATTTTTAATAATACAGATTAGATTAGGGGCACCTGGATAGCTCAGTTGATTAAGCATCCGACTTTTGATCTCTGCTCAACTCATGATCTCATGGTTCATGAGTTCGAGCTGCGCATCTGGCTCTGCGCTATTAGCAGAGCTTGGAATTCTCTTTCCCTCTTTCTCTGCCCCTACCTACCCCACTTATATAGACTCTCTCTCTCACAAAATAAATAAACTTAAAACATGTTTTTATTTATTTTTTAATGTTTTATTTATTTCTGAGAGAGAGAGAGACCGTGTGAGCAGGGGAGGGTCAGAGAGAGGGGGAGACACAGAATCTGAAGCAGGCTCCAGGCTCTGAGCTAGCTGTCCGCAAGAGCCTGTCACGGGGCTCGAACCCACGAAACGTGAGATCATGACCTGAACCAAAGTCAGACGCTTAACCAACGGAGCCACCCAGGTGCCCCAAAAAATGTTTTAATAAAAATAATATAAATGTTGGGGCGCCTGGGTGGCTTAGTCGGTTAAGCGTCCGACTTTCGCTTGGGTCATGATCTCGCGGTTAGTGGGTTTGAGCCCCGCGTCGGGCTCTGTGCTGACTGCCAGCTCAGAGCCTGGAGCCTGTTTCAGAGTCTGTGACTCCCTCTCTCTCTGACCCTCCCCTGCTCACGCTGTCTCTCTCTCTCTCCTAAAATAAATAAAACATTTAAAAAAATAAATAAATAATATAAATGAGATTCAAGGGGTGCCTGGTTGGCTCAGTTGGTCGAGCGTCCAACTTCGGCTCATGTCATGATCTCACAGTTCGTGGGTTCTGACCCCGCATGGGCTCTGTGCTGGCAGCTTGGAGCCTGTTTCAGATTCTGTGTCTCCCTCTCTCTCTGACCTTCCCCTGTTCATGCTGTCTCTCTCTCTCTCCCTCTCTCAGAAATAAATAAAACATTAAAAAAAATTTTTTTAATGAGATTCAAGCAGCTATATCAAGAAAGCAAGCAGATTAAATTGCTTGCTTACCCACCAGAGAAAACGCTAAATATATATAGGTTAGAATAATAAAGAAAGGAAGAACAAAATTAATGCCTCAATTAGTTTACTTATAAATAACGGGTATAACTTATGAACTAAGATTTTCTTCATATAGACATGTTCTATGATTTCATGCAAATATTTAAGTATATTTTATAAGCTTGAGAGTTAACACAATCTTAAAAGTTAAGAGTTTATGTTTTTGAGAGATTTCATAAAAAGATTTCATTAAATGTACAACATTTTGACATCTAAGACAGTTAAGCCTGTTTACTTAGAATATCAGGAAACTTACAAGAATAATAGCAGGCAGTGGAAAATGTAAAGTTAAACAGTGATGTGGACTCACCTGGAACCTACACTTTGACCTTACGCCAAAATTATGATTTTGTTGGCTTTTCAAGATATTAGCCTATCAGGATTAAAATGAATCTCAAAAATGCAGGATAGAAGTTCCTTATAGTTTTTTTTCTTTACATATTATTATCATTAACCTTTTAGGATTTTGAACTATGGGATGATGTAGGACTAAACATTCCAAAACCTCCAGACTTACTGCAACTCTACCGAGATTTTGGAAATCATCAAGTGACTGGGAAGGATCTTGTGGATGTGGCCAGTGGTGTAGAGGAAGATGAATTAGAGGCTCTTACACCAGTTTTAGGCAACCTTCCTCCAAGCCTTGAAACGCCTCAGACTGTAGAGGTAAACAGTATTAACTAACTAGTCAAGTCCACAAAAAGTTTTTAAACTGTGTAAAAGCATGCTATGAGATCTTGAGTTTCTGTTTTTCTCCCATTTTGATTTTAGAACTCCTTGCTAGTACAGAAATTAGAAGATAAAATTAGTTTATTAAATAGTGAGAAATGGTCTTTGATGGAGCAAATCAGAAGACTTGAAAGGTTAGTACTTAATCATCATTTCTAAAGAATCTCTTAAAGTTGTTTTTTTTCTTGTGTAAATGTTTGGGTTTTTTTTAATAGTTTATTGTCAAGTTGGTTTCCATATAACACCCAGTGCTCATCCCCACAAGTGCCCTCCTCCGTGCCCATCACCCCCCCTTTCCCTCCCCCCACCCCAAGAATCTCTTAAAAGTTTTAAAAGAAATTGGCAGGTTATATAAATATATAAAATAACATTTCAGTTGTAAGACATAATTTTTCATATTCTATTACTTTTGAAAGAATGTCTTTTAATTGTTTTATATATTTAATATCTTCTTTTTACTCCCAAAAAAGTTAAGTCATTGTATTAATCATATAATTGATTAACTCTTGGAACCAAGGAATAAGATAATTTTTACTTCCCCATAGTTGTATCAATATTAATAACTCCTTCACACTAATGTTGTATTTCCTACAGATTATCTCATTTAATTCTTACTATAATCCTGTGGGTTAGATGCGGTTTTTCTGTTCGGCAAATACAGAAAAGTGCTAATTCAAAGCAGAATTTATAAGGCCATTTTTATGCTTCATTGGTAAGAGTTTGTAGCTGTACTTTTAGGTATATGAAGCATTCGAGTATATGGTACAGAAAAGATTAATCAGTTGCCAACCAGTTTTCTATTAATGTGTTACACTTTTAATGTATTAAATCTGTTATGAGATTTACACTATTGCAAATTTTAAGAAATACACTTGTTCTCTGATAATTACTCTTTCTTTTTACAGTGAAATGGACTTTCTCAAAAATGAACACTTTGCCATCCCAGTAGTTTGTGACTCTGTTCAACCTTCTTTGGATCATAAAGACTCTGAAGACAGTGGACAGAATCCAGTTATAAATAGTTCAGACAATGAAAAAGACAAGGATATCCATCTCTCAAAATCAGATGAAGTTGATTCCACTGTTCCCAAGGAGAATTTCTCAAATTCTGTCCCCAGAAGAGAAAGAGAAGAAACACCATCTTCTTCTCCATCAAGTAAAAACACAGTCCATTTTGATAAACCCAATAGGTTAGTATGCATCCTATGTCTTCAAATGCATCTTTCATGTATTTGGTTCCTTGACAAACTGAAGGAGCTTCATTGCTTATTTTGCAGGCCATGTATATGAATGTTTACATTTGACATGAACTGAGCACATAGCAAAGTACATGTCTCCAAAAAAAATATATCACCAAGTCATTACTAAGTTAAATTACATTAAAAGTATTAAAACATAAATGAGGTAGCTTCTATCTTAGCCACGTACTTAAACTCAGAAAATAATATGTATGTTCTATGTGCTGTAAACACTGGTAGCTGGTTGATTTTTACCTTTTTGCTATCCAGTCATTAACAGACTCAGTATGAGCTGTTTTACCGCAGTTACCAGTGTAAATAGGGGAATTGTTTCTGCTCTTGGTCCTTTTTCCTGTGCCTACTTCCATTGCTAATACTGTATTATTAATATTCTCTTGATTCATTTACTTGGATCAGAGTGATTAAACTCTGATGAGAAAATAAAGGCACCAGCCCTTTATGATCCAGGTTTTCCAGTGGAGGAGACAATATAATTAAAAATTTTTTTAGGTTATAATGTGAAAAAATAATTTTAAGAAAGGAATATTTACTGTACTCTCTTTTATATTTTTGACGCAGTTCTAAATTCTTTGTGTATCCTAATTTACTTAATCCTGACAAATATCCTGTGGTGTATTCTGAACCACACAGTCGTGTTTCCTCTTCCTATTTTTTTCAAGTTTATTTATTTATTTTTGAGAGAGAGAGAGAGAGAGAGAGAGAGAGAGAGAGAGAGAATCCTACGCAGGCTCTGTGTAGCCTGATGCAGGGCTTGAACTCATGAACTGTGAGATCATGACCAGAGCTGAAACCAAAAGGATGACCCTTAACTGACTGAGCCACCCAGGTGGCCCTCCTCCTCCTATTGAGTAGATGGATATTATTTATACCTAATGTTGGGATATAATAGGAAAGCATGAATGATTTCTTTTAGACTTAAAGGTACTTGTTATTAGTAAGGAGTATTTGACTTTTTTTTAAGCAAATATTTCCACTGATGAGCCACTACCTTTTGTGTACCCACTAGCCATATTTTTTCTTGAGGTATGAAGGGAGGTTACAGAGTTGAAATAGATACAGCCCAGTCCTCAAGGTACATTTTTTTCTAGTATGGGTAAGATAGAGTCATAAAATCTATATTACAATACATAACCATAATGTTATTTGTAGTAGTAGTTCTTTAGTATTTAGGAGTACTTCCATTGATTTCTTTTGATATGCCAAAGCTACTTCCTAGAGAAAGATGGTTAAATTTGTTCAACTAATTTTTTTAGCTTTTAACTATGTGCCAGGTGGTGTCAACAAGGAATATAATGGAAGGCAAAATATGCATAATCCCTTCAGTTACAAATCTTATAGTGTGAGAGAGGTGAACAAACAATCATAATAAAGTATGAAAAATAGTAATATAAGATGGGGCGCCTGGGTGGCTTAGTCGGTTAAGCGTCCGACTTTCGCTTAGGTCATGATCTCGCGGTTCGTGGGTTCGAGCCCCACGTCGGGCTCTGTGCTGACTGCCAGCTCAGAGCCTGGAGCCTGTTTCGGATTCTGTGACTCCCTCTCTCTCTGACCCTCCCCTGCTCATGCTGTCTCTCTCTCTCTCTCCTAGAAATAAATAAAACGTTAAAAAAAAAATTTTTTTTAAGAAGTTCAGCTTGCTTTGGGAACACACCAGGGCACCTGACTTAGCCATCAGAGCAGGAGAGTTTTCAGGAAAGACGTGTCTAACCTGAGACCTGACAACCAAGTAGGAGTTAACCAGACAGAGGTAGGAGGAAAAATGTTCCCTCTAAGGGAGGACGTCATGTGCGAGGAGAAAACCACACATTTGGGGGACTTAGTAGAATCTAGTAAGGCTTAAGCAGAGATTGAGATGTATAAACCATGTTACCTCATGGGACATGATGGGGTGTCTAAGCTTTATTTTATTTATTTTTTAAACCTTTTTTTAATGTTTTATTTATTTCTGAGAGAGAGAGAGACAGCATGAGCAGGGGAGGGTCAGAGAGAGAGGGAGACACAGAATCTGAAACAGGCTCCAGGCTCTGAACACAGAGCCCAACGCGGGGCTCGAACCCACAAACTGTGAGATCGTGACCTGAGCCAAAGTCGAATGCTTAACCGACTGAGCCACCCAGGTAGCCCAGTGTCTAAGTGAGAGTCCTCTGAGGTAGAGGTGATTGGAGGGTAGCAAGACTGGTAAAAAGAAGACTAATAGGGCATCTATTGGAAGAATCCAGGTAGGAAATGATTCAGCCTCACTTGTATTAGAGAGAAGTGGGTAGAATTTTAGGTAGAAGGTCAAAGCTTGATTGAATTTGAGGTTAAAAGAAAGGAGAGATAAAGCCTGATTTGTGTTTTCTGAGTTGGGCAATTAGACGGATTTTGGAGAGTCCACAATAAGTGAATATTTCCAATTTAAAAAAAAATACTTTCTTTACAATATACCTTGAATGTTGACCGAGGCTCTGCTTCATTTATTTTAATTTTTACGTCTTTTATGTGGGTTTCTAACATTAAGGTTTATCATTTTATCATTAGATAGGTCTGCAAAACTTTGATTCCTGTCAGCAACTTTGTATCCACTATCTACCTTGCTTGGACCACTGAGAATTAGGGACAAAAAAAGTCCTCATTGCAGATTTTGCAAATACTTTCTATAATCATTGACCGGCTGTGCACTTCAGGTTTGATCCACTGACATTTACAGGCTGTTCACTGATACAACATGAAACAATTTTAAGATCAGCAGTTACTGCTAATTTTTTCCCCCTGTCTAATTCTCCGGTGAAGTGTCCTTCAAGTCATTGGTGGCTGAAAACTCGAGTCAGCATGTGAGGGGCAGGATTAATGCAGGAATGGAGTGATAACGTGCAGCTTAACCTTCTGAATGCCAGCAGTAACCACTTGATATTGTCCCCTTTGCATCCAATTTTTCTTCTAGGAAATTGTCTCCCGCTTTCCACCAAGCTCTACTCTCTTTTTGTCGAATGTCAGCAGATAGTCGCTTAGGATCAGAGGTAAATTATACCATTTTTTCTTGGGACTTTCTTAAAATACTTGGTTTTTCTTTTCAGTATCTCATCCAAAAACAGTTGTGATAAGATCAAATGCACATCTATTTTTTAAAATAATGCTCTAAATAATTCCTAAAATTTTAAACTTTTAAGGAAGATAGTTGATTATTTCTCTGTTCTTTGGACTAAGGTTTATTTAGTATTAAATTGACCTTTGTAGTCTGTATTTCATTTGTTATGTCTACTGACATATGGTAATATGCCTCTCTTTGGTATAATTCAGAAAACCAACGTAAGTGTATATATTGTTCATATTTTAGTTATTTTTAGATTACTCCTGTATTTTAACTTCATTAGGAGTGGTTATCTTCGATTGCCAAGTTTGTTAGCTCTCAGACTAGTTTTCCTCAAGTGCTTTGTAATTATTGGAGGTTCATCCTGAGAGGTTATTTCATTAAAATTTTTTTCTATCTTTATACTCACTTCTCCCTCTCTAGTTTTGTGGTTGATCCCACTTGACCTCTCGCAAGCTTGTTTCACAATGTCATTGAGAATGTGAAAGAGCTAGAGGATGGTTTGGACGCATTTCTAGCCTCTGGCCGTCCTCTCTGCAAGATTGAGTCAGCGTCCACAGGCCTCCTCTTGCATGCAGTTTCGTTCTATAAACTATCACTGTAATCACAGATTGTAGCAATGTGGGCATCTTTTCAAGAATTAAAAAAAAAAAAAAAAATCGTTGGGGCACTTCCGTGGCTCAGTCGGTTAAGCGTCCGACTTCGGCTCAGGTCATGATCTCACGGTTCGTGGGTTCGAGCCCCGCCGCGTCGGGCTCTGTGCTGACAGCCAGCTCAGAGCCTGGAGCCTGTTTCAGATTCTGTATCTCCCTCTCTCTCTGACCCTCCCCTGCTCACGCTGTCTGTCTGTCTGTCTCTCTCTCTCTCTTCTCTCTCTCTTCTCTCTCTTCTCTCTCTTCTCTCTCTCTTCTCTCTCTTCTCTCTCTCTCTCTCCTCTCTCTCCTCTCTCTCTTCTCTCTCTCTCTCTCCTCTCTCTCTCTCTTTCAGAAAAAAAAAAAAATTGTTGAGGCTGCCTTAGTCCTGTTATCCCTACTTGTTCCCAGAACTGCAGCCTTGTGGGCTCTTTGGATTCACCCTTGCTTCTTACTGGTGTTTTCAGTCCATTTCTTGCTTACAGAAATGTTGATCCTGTTTGGGAACACAGTTACTGTTGATGATGGTGATGTTCTTGTTTGTATCCCTGCCATCATAAGTTGGGATTTGGGATGTGTATTTGGAGCACAGGGGGCAGGGTCTAAAGCATGACCTTCAAGTACTACCACGCATGGAAGTTCTACACTGTCATCATTTCTTAATTCTTTGGTTTTCTAGGTGTCGCGGATTGCAGACAGTGAGAAGAGTGTCATGTTAATGCTGGGACGCTGCCTGCCGCACATTGTCCCTAACGTGCTGTTGGCAAAGAGAGAGGTGAGGCACCTAAAGGTGTTTTCATCCCAGGAATCTCATCGTGTTGTCCATTTTTTGTCATTTTGAAGTTTAGTGTTATATTTTTATTTTGTTAAAGTCTATTACTTGCAATCATATTCTTACTTTTGTGCATGCATCTCTGCTCCTAGAGAATGGTTTTACACCTCTGTCAGGTGAGTTCGGTAAAACTGCATGGTATTCATGTTTTTCCAATTTTGCTTAAAGCATCATTAGCTTCCGCAGCACTAACTATTACTGTAGGTCCATTTATGTGCCATGAATACTGTCCGTTTTTTACATTACCAGTTAACCAATTTATTTGATCTCCGCTCTGGATATGATATGCTCCATATGTCTACAAAAATAGACCCTTTGTGTTGAAAATTAACTGGGACTAATAATGTTACTTTTTTCCTAAATGTGCTATAGTTACCTATTATAAATGTTAGTTTTATTATATTTGTCAATAATTATACTTGTCTTATGATGATAGGCTAGTTATAGTATTGACTACAATAACTTGTGAAAGTACCTTCTTTTGTTTTTCTTGTAGCTAACTTGTTATATGCTTAAAATACCCAAACTATAGTAGCCAATATATTTTAGTACACATAGCCTTTAGTACAAAGGAGCCATACTGCAGAGAGTTATCTTTTGAGTTCTATTTTGCCAAGAAAAGACTAATAAAATAAGTTATTATCTAATTTAAATGACAGTGGATGATTTCTTTGTAATCAAGTTTAATAATTTAAGTCATTCAATTTATGAAACGAACTTCCAGTTCACAACATATCTTAATAAAAAATGGGTTAAGAATATTTTAGAATGTATCCTATAAGTTTCTCCTATCATCCTCTTAATATTTACCACTGATTTCAATCATAATTCATGGGACCTACAGTATGATGGATACACAATGCATTGGCAAAACCATATAAAGCTTATTCTTAATTATTTGTTTAGCACAAGAAATTTGTACTGATCCTCAAGAAAACTTACATGTAGAAACTTACTTGTAAAACTTACATGAAAAATGTTTATTCCTATAGATGTTTTGGATTTAAACAAGATTTAAAAGACTCTTTTCTTACTGGTGGTTTTATTTTACCTAATACATAAAAATAGTTGTGAGATATTAATAAATGTGGAAATTTTTCTGTATCTTGAAGGATCAGTGTCCAATTTCAGATTGTTTTGCAGTTCTGCCTGGCAGAATGGTGTTTGAGCTTCTTTTCCTTTTTTAGCTTGTAATATAATCAATGCAATGCATTAATGTTTGCATCCCTTTTACTATATTTCCTTAATATAATCTTAAAAATATCACAGAAGCCTAATTGTTATGAGATGCAGTTTAAGCCTTTTTATTTTAATTTTCCCTTTTTTTTATCATAAAAGACTCTACCACTAAAATCTGATTGTACTGCATGAAGTATTTATAAATTTGCATCATCAGTAATCAGATAATTATATATAAATGTATATGTTAAGCATATATATTTATACATACATATTTTGTTTGTGGTATGATGTTTACTTTTCTGGCTGACTTTAAGTTTTTTGTATTTAAAAAATATTTATATACTTATAATTTCATGAAGAAGTGATCATTTATCTGTTTAATTATTTGTACGTTATTCTATCAGAAAACTTACCACTTATAAATCAACAGTTGTATTTTCTTGAAATTAAATTGGTAAATAATGAAGTTTATTTTGGTTTGGTTTGAAACCAATCCCAGGGCATGAAAGGACAAAACTTTTATTTCATTTCATCCTTTGATATTAGATTATTTTTATTTAATATTTCATCTTAAATCCTTAAATATAATTTTTTAAAAAGGTCTCCTGATTAAAGGATATTTTGATTTTTCCTATTTATCAAGTTTTATATACTCTTTTATCAGGATAATAAGACTTCTTATTGGTATGCAAATACAATTAAAATGTCCTTCAGTAAATTGATTGGTCATAATAATATCCTAGCTGCTTAAATAAATAACTAGAAAGAGGATTTAAGGTTTTGATTAAGTAACGTATTCACATAGTTTAACATCTTTTTAAATGTAAAAAGATAAACAACAAAAACTCTTCCCCACTCCCTGAGCCACCATCCCCCATACAATAAATATTATTAGTTTCTAAAATATTCTATTAAGTCTTTTGCCTGTTTCTTAATTGGGTTGTTTGTCTTTGCTTTTGAGTCATAAGAGTAAGAACAATTCTGGATATTAAACCCTTATTTTACATATGATTTGCAGTCTTTCCTTCCATTTGGTAGGTTGTCTTCACATTTTTGATGATGTCCTTTGATGGACAGATGTTTTCATTTTTATTTAGTCTGATTTATCTATTTTTTCTTTTGTTGCTTGTGTTTTTGGCATCAAATCTAAGAATCTGTTGCCAAGTCTGAGATCAGGAAGATTTATCCCTATGCTTCCTTCTAATAGTTTTATAGCTTTAGCTCTTATATTTATCCATTTTGTATTTGTATATGGAGTGAGGCAGGGGTCCAGTTTTATTCTTTTCATGTTATTATCCAGTTGTCCCAGCATAATTTGTTGAAGTGTTTCCCCATTGAATAGTCATGGCATCATTATCAAAAATCAGTTATCTGCAAATGTTTGGATTTATTTCTAGACTCTCAGAGACCAATTATATTGGTCTTTTACGCTTATCCCTGTGCCTGTACCAACCACACTATTTTGATTACTGTAGCTTTGTACTAAGTTTTGAAATTGGGAAGTATGAATTGTTTGTTTTTCTTTTTCAATATTGTTTCCCTGTTCAAGGCCCCTTGCAGTTCCATAGGAATTTGATACTCCACTTTCATTTCTGCCGTAAAGGTCATTGGAATTTTGATAGGGCTTGCATTGAACTTAATAGATCACTTTAGAGAGTACTGCTATTTTAACAGTAGTAATTCTTCCAATTCATGAACATGGGATTCTTTCCATTTATTTATGTCTTTGATTGCTTCCATCAATACTTTCTAGTTTTCTGTGTACAAGTCCTTCACTTCCTTGTTTTAACTTATTCCTAGGTATTTCATTATTTTGGATGGTATTATAAATGGCATTTTTCCCTTAATTTCCTTTCAGATTATTCATTGCTCATTTATAGAAACAGAGCTGATATTTCTGTGGTGATCTCATACCTTGCAACTTTCTGATTTAGTTTATTAGTTCTAGTAGTTTCTGGTGGATTCTATGTGATTTTTTTAATCTAGAATACCGTTACCTGCAAATAGAGTTTTTCTTCATCCTTTCCAATTTGGATGGCTTTTATTTCTTCCTCTTGCTTAATTGCTCTAGCTAGGACTTACAGTACAATGGTGAATAGAGGTGTTTTGAGAAAGCAGATATTTTTGTCTTCTTCCTGATTTTATGGGGAAGGCAAGCTTTTGATCTTTCACCATTGAATATGATACTGGCTGTGGGTTTTTTATAAATGCCCTTTATCATATTAAGGAAATTTTCCCCTGTTCCTAGTTTGCAGTATTTTTATCATGAAAGGATACTGAATTTTGTCAAATTCTTTTTCTGCATTGATTTGATTTTTGTTCCTTCATTCTATTGATATAGTATAATACATTGTTGATTCTTCATATATTGAACCACCCTTGCATTCTGGAGGTAAATCCCACTTGGTCATAATATATATTTCTTTTAATGTGTTGTCGGATTTAGTGTTAGGGTTTTATTTATTTATTTATTTTTTTTTGCACATTTTTGCATCTAAATTCATAAGATATATTGGTCTATAGTTTTAACACTTAGGAGAATTGTCTGGCCTAACATCTGGTCTACCCTTTAGATTGTTCCATACTTGAGAAAAATATATATTTTGCGGTCGTCAGGGTGAGTGTTCTGTATCTATTAGGTCTAATTATTTTATAGTGTTCAGGTCTTCGGTTTCCTTACTGATCTTCTATTTAGTGGTTTATCCATTATTGCAGCTGAGGTATTGAGGTCTCCAAATATTATTGTAGAGCTGCACTATATTTTTTTTCAGATATTTTGTGTATGTAAGTGAACTGAAATATTCGATCTTTCTTCCATGACTTATACAAATGGTACCACACTCTATGTACTATACTTTGGGTCTTATTTTTCCCCATGTAACATATTTTTGTTTCTTTCTATGTCAGTACAGTACCTAGAGAACTTTCTGGTTCTTAAGGCTGCATAATATCTAGTCTTTTTATAGTCTTATTTTTTTTTATTTTAAAAAAATTTTTTATAGATAGAAAGCACAAGTGAGGGAGAGGGATAGAGGGAGAGAGAGAATCTTTAAGCAGGCTCCAGGCTCAGTGCAAAGCCCATCACAGGGATTGATCCCATAACCCTGGGATCATGACCTGAGCCCAAATTAAGAATCTGACTCTCAACCATCTGAGCCACCCAGGCATCCCTTTTTATAGTCTTTTAAACATATTTTAAATTAGTGTTTTTTCAGACATTATTGACCACACTCTCAGTAAAAGAGGCATTTTACCTGATGTGCCAGTGCCAGTATATAATTACACATATAATTAAAATGAAAGTTTGACAAATCAAGCCTTACCTTTACAAATTATAAAACATTAAAGTAGAAGATAATCAATGTCAAACATGATTTTGTAAGTATTTTTAAACAATAAAGAGTATACCTAAATAAATAATTAAAAAATAGTCTTCATGATCTATTCATTTAATTTTATGACCCATTGTTTAATTAACCTTTTAAAGCTATCAACTAACTTAAACTTTTATTTTTTATAAAAGTGGAAAGTACAGAGAATATAGATGTTAGTGTTATTTGTTTCTTAAAAGAAAAGTAAACAACCTCACTCAATCTTTAGGTCACAATGATAGCATTTTTCTAAATTTAACATACCATATTTCAAGTCTAAGATGGCATGGATTGTAACAATTATGTACCTTTAAGAAAGAATTCCAATTAAATTATGACATATTCTCCATTATAAGGTACATCCCAATTTCAGAGATAATAAAAAGTGAA